GTGGGTGAATATCTTGAAAAGGAAGTTGATATTCAATTGTTGTTCAGTCATATCCGACTCTCTGTGACCCCATTTAGGGTTTTCTTGGTAAAGATACTGGATTGGTTTTGCCGTTTCCTTCTCCTGCTCATTTTACAGATGAGTAAACTGAGACAAATGGGGCAAAGTGACTTGCTCAAGGTCAAACAACTAGTAAGTGTCTGAGGCCAGATTTGAACTCAGGTCCTCTTGACTCCAGGGCTGGTACTCTCTCCACCGTGCCATCTAGCTGCCCCCTTTTTACTTTCTATTCTTGGGGGGGGGGAAACCTTTTAATTAGCAAGTATTTATGTTCACTCCCTGCCTTTCACTTTCCCCATTAAAACAAAACAAAAGCTCTTGTAATAAATATGCATAATGAAGCAAAACAAGCTTCCATATTTACCATGTACATAAATTCCTGTCTAATTCTGCATCTTATGTCAGCAGTCTTTTGAAAGCATGATTGGTCTCTGCATTGACAAGAGTTCTTAAGTCTTTCAAAAATCTTTTGTCTTTACAATGTTGGTGTTATTATATAAATTGTTCTCTTCATAAACTCTTCCCAGATTGCTCTGTCATTGTCATTTCTCACATAACATGTATTACATTACATTCCTATACAATAGCTCATTCCCCAATGGATAGGTACCCTCTGAGTTTCCAGTTCTTTGCCACCAGGAAAAGAGCTTTTTCTTCTTTGGAACATAGACCTAATAGTAGTATCACTGGGGCAAAGAGTATGCAAAGTTTAGTGATGATTGTAGCATAGCTCCAAATGACTTTGCAGAATGGCTGTCACAATTCACAGCTCCACCAACATGGAACCTGCTTTCTCCAAGCCCCACCAACATGTGTCATTTTTTTGTCAATGTTGCCAACTAAACTTTGTGAGATGCAGCCTCGAAGCTGCTTTAATTTTTTCATTTCTCTAATTATTAATGATTTGGAGTATTTTTCACATGGCTACTAATAGCTCAGATTTTATCCTTTGAAAATTGCCTGCTCGGGAGCAGCTTGGTGGTGCAGTGGATAGAGTACCAGCCCTGAAGTCAGGAGGACCTGACCTGGCCTCAGATCAAACACTTGACACTTACCAGCTGTGTGACCCTGGGCAAGTCACTTAACCCCAATTGCCTAAAAAAACAAACAAACAAATAAAAAAACCCCCGAAGATTACCTGCTCATATCCTTTGACCACTTATCAATTGGTGAATGGCCCTTGTTCTTATAAATTTGAGTCAGCTACTTAGATTTCTTGGAAATGAGATTTTTATTAGATAAACTCACTGCAAAGAATTTTTCCCCAGTTATTTGGTGCCCTTCTAATTTAAACCCCATTTGTTTTGCTTGTACAAACGCTCTTTAATTATATGTAATCAAATTGGCCATTTTGTATTCTGTAATCTTCTGTATTTCTTATTTGGTTATGAAATCTTACCCTTCCATAGAACACAAAGGTAATTTCGCCCTTGCTCCTCTAATCTCTTTATGATATGATCTTTTACATGTAAGTCATGTATCCATTTGGAATTTATCTTGGTTTATGGTAAGAAGTGTCAGTCTAAATCTAATTTCTACTAGACTGTTTTTCTAGTTTCCCAGCTATTTTTGGCGGAATTATAGGTCTGTGTTCCACTAGTTGGGTGGGGTCTTTAGATTGATCAAACATTAGGTAAATAGTCTGCATGTTGTGTACCTAATCTATTTTGCTTATTAACTTCTCTACTCTTTAACCAGTACCAAATAGCTTTGATGATTACTGCTTTGTAGTATAATTTGAAATCTGGCAATATTAGGTGTCCTTCCTTTCCACTTTTAAAAACTATTTCCTGTGGGCAGTTAGGTGACACAGTAGATAGAGCACCAGCCCTAGAGTCAGGAGGACCTGAGTTCACATCTGGCCTCAGACGCTTGACATTTACTAGCTGTGCGACCCTGGGCAAGTCACTTAACCCCAATTTCCTCACCCCCCCCCAAAAAAAATACTTCCCTTGAGATTCTTGATTTTTTTTTCTGATAGTCCATTGATTTTTTCCCCTCTATAGCCTACTTTTTTTTTTTTTGGTTAGGTTAAGTGATTTGCCCAGGGTCACACAACTAATAAGTGTCATGTGTTTGAGGCTGGATTTGAACTCAGGTCCTCCTGAATCCAGGGCTGGTACTCTATCCACTGCACCACCTAGCTGCCCCCCTCTCTCTCTATAGCCTATTTTTTCCAAGTCAGTTTTTAATATGGAATACTTTATATTTGCTTCTATTTTTTCCGGGATTTGACTTTGTTTTTAATTTTTTGTTGTCATATGGAGCTATTAACTTCTGTTTGGTTTATTCTGTTTTTCAGAGAGCTCTTTACTTATGTACCTCATGTATTATCATTAATTCTCCTTCCAAGCCTTTCCAAGTAGTCTCACTACTTTGCAATTCTTTGCTCTAGAGGGTCTCATTTTTTCTGAGGCCAGATTTGAACTCAGGTTCTCTTGACTCCAGAGCCGGTGCTCTATCCACTGCACCACCTAACTGCCCTGAGATGTACAATTTTGAGAAAACTCCTCACATCAGTCTTCTGATCTGACTGGGTTTCTGGTCAACATAACCGAGGTCATTGGCTAATGTTCTCTAAGTAGCAGGGAGAGGTGGCCCAGCTTCCCAACCAGGCAGGCCTGAGTTCAAACAGTACAATAAGATTTTCTCCCAATTCCCACAACTGAATAAAGTTTTCTCACCGGTCAGAAATTGGACTAACCCTATAACTGAATAGAACGGGAACTGAGTTAACTCCAGAACTGAGTCACAGTGGTTCAATTCCCACTACCACTTGCTGCTCCAATTCCCCTCACTTACCTCAGGTATAAGTAGATTCCCTTGAACTGCTCTGGTGATGACAGAGTTCTTAGGATTACATGTATGATCTTCCCATATAGGAATATCAACAGTTTAACCTCGCTTAGTCCCTTAAGATTTCTCACTGATGTTTACCTTCTTATTTCTCTTTGAGTCTTGTGTATGAATGTCAGATTTTTTTATTCACCTCTGGTCTTTTCATAAGGAATGTTTGAAAGGCCTCAGTTTCATTAACTATCCATTTCCCCCCCTCCTGCTGTGTGCTCTGCTCCTTACACAGATAGGACCCCTGCTCCCTAGCAGCCTCACCCACTCCTCTCTGCCCTGGAATTGTGAACCAGAACTGGGTAACAGGTGACAGAGCTGAAGAATGACACCCTAGCCTGCTAGTCTGGGGAGTCCTGGGATCTCTTAGTGAGATTTCAAACAGATAGTCTCATTGGCCCAATGAACTAAATCCTGACTGCAGGAGATTCTGCTGAGCAAACCAAGGGCAGACATCTAACAAGATTCATCTCTTGTCTGAAGGGAGAGAGTGATATCTATCTTCAAGTATCTGAAGGGGGATTCAATTTGTTCCTCACTCCAGAGGGTAGAACTGGGAGCAGTGGGCAGAAGTTACAGGTTGGTGGATTCCAAACCATGGAGGAAAACTTTCTAACAATTAGAGCTCCCTGACAAGGAATGGATGTAGTGAATTCCTGGTCAGTGTAAGCAGAGGTGGGATGGATGACCCCTCTGAGAAGCTGCAGATGAGAGACACCTCCAACTTGGAGACTCCACAATGGGTCTGGGTCCAGGACACGTGGGTTTAAATCCTGACTCTGCTTCTCACGCTCTCCCTGATACTGAGTTTCCTTTTTTTCTGGAGGGGGTGGGACTAGGGGGCTCCTAAGGTCCCTTCCAGCTCTAAGCCTGTGATTCTGGGAATGCCAATTCTGTGACCGAGTTCAGGTTGCAGCTTTGCCACAGACTATCCGTGTGACCTCGAGCAGGTTCCTTCCCTCCCTGTCCCCCCTCTCCCAAATGTAGGACTGAACAAGAGAGGCTAAGGGTCCTGACAGCTTTAAAGCCTGTCTAAACCTCTAAACCCTTGGCCATCTGGGGCCTCGGTTTCTCTCTCAGTAAAGGGAACGGGGTGGGAAGATCTCATTTCTAGGGGGCTTTTCGGGACAGCCCTAGATTCTAGGAGGGTGCAACCACAAGCAAGCACCTTCTCCTCTCAGAAGGTGGGGGCCGAGGGGGAGATCGGCCCTAGAGAGAGCCCACCCAGCTTGGGCACTGCAGCCTAGGATCTCTCTAGCCCGAAGAGGACGGGTGCAGCCAAGGGCTCCTCCTGCTGATGGAAAGCTTCCCGGGGCTGCTTGGCTCTGGGCGGGGAAGGAGAGAAATGGGGCAGGGGACGGGAACGGGGGCGGGGTGGGACGCTCTCCCTACACGTGCCGACTGAGGCAGCTGGCACCACACACACGCACACACACACGCGCGCACACACACACACACACACACACACACACACACGCACACACAGAGGCGCGCGCCCCGCGCGCGCGCATCCAAGGGCGTTATTTGGGCAACACTCGCCCTTTCTCTGGGACTCTCCTTTTCCCAAATGGGGGGTAGGGGGGCTGCACGTGAGGACCCCAAAATCCTGGACCTCCCTTCCTGCCCTTAGCTGGGCGCCCTTGGCCGAGTCTCTTCCCCCTTCTGGGGTCTAGTCTCCCTCTCGCTAAAATGATTTGCACGACTGTGTACGGGGGGGGGGGGGGGGGGCGGGGCGGCGTTGTCCTTGAGGACTCTTCCCTCCTACGGAGCTGCTGAGTAGCACTCCCCCGCCCCTCACCCCAGTGGGTTCTCCTCCGCTTCCAGAGTCCTGTTAAACCCTCTCCTATCGCTCCTGCCTCAGCGGGAGAAGTGGGCGAGTCCTTTCTCTTGAGCCCCAGCCAATGAGAAGGCGAGAATGGCAGGGGTGGGGGCAGGGGCAGGGTGGGCAGAGACCGGTGTAGGAAGAATAAGGTGAGAGCGGCAGGCGTGCGAATTCCCGTGACGTCACCAGATCCTACCAATGAAAAGGCGCACCCTGAGAGAGCGCGGACACTGCGATCTGTTGGTTCTGTGGTCCGGGAGCAGAAGCGACGATGGCTCAGCGCTGGACCGGGTTTGGGGATAGTGACAGAGATCGTCAAGGGGCGGTGGCTAGGAACAGGGAGTGGGAAGAGTTTTGGGGGGCAGAGGACGACTGGGGAGAACAGGAGAACGAGGACGAGGACGAGGACGAGGAAGAAGAGAGGGAGTACGCTGACGAAGACGAAGACCAGGGGGAGATAGAGGACGAAGACGAAGATGGGGAATGGAGGAACATGATCGGGGGCAACTGGGCAGAGGAGGAGGATTGGGAAGAGGAGGAGGATTGGAAGGTGGGGGAAGAGAAGCAGGATTGGAAGGTGGGGGAAGAGAAGCCTGAGGAAAATGTGGAGAGGAAGGAGAACGAAGAAGTGGAGGAGGAGGACGAGGAAGACGACTCCCGCCTCCCTCTGGAGGCTCTTCGGATACTGGACCGGTTGAAGGTGCGGCCACAGAGGGCAGGATCCGGCCAGGGTAGGGGATTTAGAGTGGCGGGGAGCCTCGTGGGGGTGGGGAGACGAGAGGGACTGCTATAGACGACAAAAGGGGAGGTGGAGGCCCAGGGAGGGGTGGGAGAAGGGTCGAGCGAGCAAACTGTCTTTGAGGATCTCGTGCCCTCCAGGACTGCCCCCGCTGGGCTTGTGGCCCCTCTCATCCTCGATTTCCCCCTTCCCTCTCCCCTCCTCCTCCATTTATCCTTTCCTTTACTTCCTTTTCCCCTTCTCTTCATCCTCCTCGTCTCTCTTCCTTTCCTCTCCTCTCTTCTTCCTTCCCCCCTCTTCCTCTTTCCCTCTCCTTTCCCTTCCCCCCTCTTTCCTCGTTTTCTTTCCTTCCACACTTCTCCCTTCGCGTCTCCTTCCCTCCCCCTCCTCCTTGCTGTGTTTCCCTACCCTTCCCCCTCCTCCTCCTCCCCTCCCCCTCCTCTTCTTTCCGACCTCCCCCTTTCCATTCTACCTCTCTCCTCCTTCGCTTCCACTTTTTCTCCCTTCCCCCTTTCCCCCCTTCTTTCCTCCCCTAACCCTTTCTACCTCCTTCGCAACTTTCCCGTCTCTTTCTCCTTTTCTTCCCTTCTCCTCCTTTCTTTTCTCCTCCCCTTTCTTCCTCCTTCCCTCCCTCCTTCCATCTTTTTCCCTCTCCTTCTTCCATTCTTCTCCAAGGCCCCTCCCCTCTTGACCCCTGGCCCCAGGATTGGGCTCCCCACAAGCTTCTCCCAAGCCTCCCCACTTGACCACTTAACCTCACACAAATGTAGCAATATTTGTCTACCTCCTTTCCTTTACTCATACTGTACTCATACTCATACCCCCACCAGTAATACCAACTCCTACTTTTGGTTTTATAACACTTTGGGAATGCTTAAACATCCCTCTAAGGCTCTTTCCAGGAAGCGTCAGCTCACGGCAGCCATAAATGAACTCTTACTCCCCTAAACTTTTTTTCTTTCTATCATGTTTGGCCTTCTGTTAGAGTCACACATGTTCATATTTTATTTGTCTTGTGGTCAGGGATTGTTTTTAATTTTATCTTTTTACCCTCTGCTATATCTGATGTTATGCCTTGCAGGTAATATAAGTGTGCAATAAATGAGGTTAATTTAAGTTAAACATAAGTCTTTTAAATGCCTAGAATTATTGATCAGTGAGAATACATCATTGAAAGTGACCAAGTGGTCAACCAGCTATCATTTATTAAGAGTTTGCTAGGTTCCAGGCATTATGCTAAGTGCCAGAGATACAAATAAAAACAAAAACGTCCTTCCTCTTTAGGAACTCACCTTCTAATTCCAGACTATGTAAATAACTTGATAGAAACAAGATCTATACTGAAGAAATGGAAAATAATTTCACAGGGAACAGCACTAGCAGACAGAAAGTGGGAAACAGGAAAGGTTTCTGGTAGAAAGTTGAGCTGAGGCTTACAAGGAGCCAGGGAAGTGAAGGAAGAAGAGTATTCAGGTCATGGGGGCAACCACTGTGAAGGCACTGAGATGAGAGATGGAGTATTGTGTAAGAGGAACAGTAAGAAAGCCATCGTTGTTGTTGGGGGGGGGTAGCTAGGTGGCTCAATGGATAGAGCACCAGCCCTGAAGTCAGGAGGACCCAAGTTCAAATCCAGCCTCAGACCAAAAACTTGACACTAGCTGTGGGACCCCAGGCAAGTCACTTAACCTCAATTGCCTAAAAATAAAAAAATTTAAATTTAAAAAAAAAAAGCCATTGTTGCTAAAGCCTAGTGTATGTTTGTGGAGGGGTATAAAGTATAAGAAGCCTGGAAAGGTAGGAAGGGTGATTCAGGTTGTGGTTCAGTTGTTCTTTGTGATCCTGTGGACCATACTGTCCATATGGTTTTCTTGGTAAAGATACTGGAGTGGTTTGCCATTTCCTTCTCCATTGAATATGGTAAATTGAGGTAAAGTGACTTGCCCGAGGTCACACAGCTAGTAAGTGTCTGAGGCTGGGTTTGAACTCAGGTCTTCCTGACTACCACACCAGCGCTCTATCGACTGATCCATCTAGCCGCCCAACAAGATTTTTTATATATGATCTTTGTGGTATTTGGGAGCTACCGGAATTTACTGAGTGTGTGTTTGGGTTGGGGGGGGCAGGAGCCATGGTCAGACCTGCACATTAGGAAAATCATTTCAGTAGCTGAGTGAAGGGAGGGATTTTAGTGGGGGAGGTGTTTGAGGTACAGAAACCAAACAGAAAGATTGTTTCAATTATGCAGGCATGAAAGGCTGTGTGAGTAGGAAGGTGGGGATGTATATAGGCAGTACAATAGATTGGCTATTTGGAATGAATGCAAGTGATAAGTTCAAGATGACAATGAGATTGTGAGCCTCAGTGACTGAGAGGATGTCAGTATCCTTCATAGAAGAGATGGGGGGCAGCTAGGTGGTGCAGTGGATAAAGCACCAGCCCTGAAGTCAGGAGGACCTGAGTTCAAATGTGGCCGCAGACCAAACACTAGATACTTACTCCAAACACTAGACACTTACTAGCTGTGTGACGCTGGGCAAGTCACTTAACCCCAATTGCCTAAAAATTAAAAAAAAAAATTTAAAAGGTGGGAAGATGTGAGGGGAGAGATCATGAATTCTGTTTTGAGCATGTTGAGTTTAAAATGCCATCAGGACATCCAGTTTGAGATATCCAAAAGGTGATTGGCAGCTAGAAATCAGGACTAGGCCTGAATATATAGATCTGGGAATCATCTTCTTTTCAATGATAATTGAGGGAAACTGAGGTATGAGCTCACCAAGTAAGATGGTACAGAAGGCCAAGGCCAGACTTTGAGATATATAGCCACAGTTAGTGGCCATGGGGCAGTTAGGTGGCACAGTGGATAGAGCACTAGCCCTGGATTCAGGAGGACCTGAGTTCAAATCCGGCCTCAGACACATCATACTTACTAGTTGTGTGACTCTGGGCAAGTCACTTAACCCCACTGCCTAACAAAAAAAAAAAAGTTAAAAAAAAGCATCTAAGAGAGAAAAGGTATTGGCAGTGGCAGCAGTTGCAGAGAGCTCAAGGAGGATGAGGACTGAGACAAGGCCATTAGATTTGGTGATTGAGAAGGTATTGGTAGCCTTGGAGAGAACAGGTGCACTTGAATGATGAGGTCAGAAGCCAGGCTGCAAAGGATTTAGAAGCTGAATTTTCTTTTTTTTTTTTCTTTTCTTTTTTTTTTTTTAAGGCAATTGAGGTTAAGTGACTTGTCCAGGGTCACACAGCTAGTAAGTGTCAAGCGTTTGGTCTGAGGTTGGATTTGAACTCAGCTCCTCCTGACTGTAGGGCAGGTGCTTTATTCACTGTGCCACCTAGCTGCCCCTTAGAAGCTGAATTTTCCAAGGTGCTTAGCTGAGAACTAGCTAGAAGATGAGAGCTACCAGGGCTGGTTGAACCTGAATGACTGCTTGATGATATATTAAGGTTACTGTAAAAGGGCTTTGGCCTTAGATTTGGGGGGCGGGGGAGGGGGTTAGACTATTATTTCTTAAGACCTCTTGTAATCCTTAATACAGCTGATTTTTCTTTTTCCTCATTCAGGACATGGAATGCCCCTTCCTCAAGGGTTTTTATAAAAGTAAACTGAAGACAGCCAGACAGTTCCTGTGTACTCCCTCAGTTTACCGTTTGGATATTCTGGCATGGCTATTTACACGGTAATGCCCCTACTTTCTTCTCTGTGTCCCGAGCTGCTCTGCTCCTCAGACAGAGGTGTTCATCATGTTTTCATGCAGCTCTGGCCCTAGAAGGTGCCATGTTGTGCCCCAGATCAGTGGTAAGAAACCTGTGGCCTTCTAGGTCCTTGGGTGTGGCTTTTTGACTGAGTCCAAGTTTGACAGAACAAATCCTTTTATTTAAGGGGATTTGTTCTGTGAAGTTTGAATTTGGTCAAAGGGGCCGCACTTGAGCACCTAGAGGGCCACATGTGGCCTCAAGGCTGCAGGTTCCCCACCCCTGCCTCAGATCATCCTTACAAATAATCAGGGGCAGGGGGCAGGGGCAGGCACACAATGGGCACAGACCATATTGACAAGCCTTTGTTAAGGCCCCACAATGTGTCAAACACTGTTAAGTATCAGGGTTCCGGAGACAAAAAGACAAAACAGTCTCTGTCCTTGAAAAGCTTCTGTTCTATTGAAATTGAGAGCAAGTATCTAGAAAGATATATTCCAGATAAATAGGAGATACATTAGGAAGGCCAGGAACTAGCAAAGGAACAGTGACATGTAATGAGACTGAAAAGGTAGGAATGGGTCAAAGCGTGAAGAGCTTTAAAGACAGACTGCTTAGATTTAATCCTTCAGAGAGGCCCTCTAGGTCCTTGGGTGCGGCCTTTTGACTGAGTCCAAGTTGGACAGAACAAATCTTTTTACTAAGGAGATTTGTTCTGTGACGTTTGGATTCAGTCAAAGGGCCGCACTGGAGGACCTAGAGGGCGACATGTGGCCTTGGGGGCCGAAGGTTCCCCACCCCTGCTCCTGACAATAGGAAGTCACTGAAGTGTAGAGAGGGAAATGATGGGCTTAGACCTACATTTACAGAAAATCATTGTTTTTCTTCGAATTTTAGCTATATCGGTTTTGTTTATGCAAAAAAAAAAAAGTAATGTTATATAATTTAAATTGTCCATTTTCTTCTTTCCAATACTCCCTGACCATTGTTTGGTCATGACCACTTCCCCATCCCTCGTTTTGAAAGGTAGTTTCTTCCTCACTTGTTTCATTTGTTTATGACGTCACCTTTTATGTCTTTGTCATATAGCTGTTTGAAGTTTATCTTGCTACAGAGAATGAGATGTTGGTCAATACCCAATTTTGGATCGACCATTTCCTAGGTTCCCTAGCAGTTTTGTTTAAGGAGTCTCATACCCTGGTAGCTGTGGTCTTGAGGTTGATTTAACACTGTGCTACTATCTTCATTTTCTTCTACATGCTCTGTACTACTGCTTGTTTTATTCTTTTTTTTTTCTTTCATTTTAATGATTACTGCTTTGTAATACAGTTTGGAATCTAGTACTGTTTGACCGACTTCTTCTCCACACTTTTCATTGTTATTTGCCTCAAAATTTTTGACCTTTTGTTTCTCCAAATGAAGTACATGGCTCTCAGACTTTCCCCCCAACTCCTGCCTTCATACTAGGAGACTTCAGCACTCCCTCAAACACCCTCAACCTACTCACCTCCCATTAGGTGGTGAGCTTCTTTAGGGCAGGAATTGTCTTTTGCCTTTTTTTGTATCCCTAGTTCTTAGAACAGTGCCTGGCACGTAGTAAGTGCTTAATAAATACTTACTGACTGACTGACTAGGGCAGGGGTGGGGAACCTGAGGCCTCGAGGCCACATGTGACCCTCTAAGTCCTCAAGTTCGGCCCTTTGACTGAATCCAAACTTCACAGAACAAATCCCCTTCATAAAAGGATGTGTTCTGTACAACTTGGAGTCAGTCAAAAGGCCGCACACAAGGACCTAGAAGGCCATATATGGCTTCAAGGCCACAGGTTCCCCACCCCTGCCCTGGACTAGGGAATTGGGAAGTAATTAGTCAAGAGAGCCTTGAAGTCTTTTTACCAGAAGAAAGTGAGAGGTTAGGGTGGAGGTTTGGTTTTCTGTTGTTGTTTAGAGGGGAACTAGTATATTTGCCTAGCCCAGGCTGAAAATAGTACAGGTAGCAGGAAAAAATGTCTGCTGACCAGAAATCTGAAGCCTTGGCAAAATTTCAAAACCCCAAAACACCTCTTTCCAACCCCGATTTAAAAAAAAAATTACCAGCTTTTCCTGTTCTGGGTTGCACTGGTCTCTATAATACACATTAAAGGAAACTAAGGAAAGCCTTTGCTCTATTGGGTTGATGCTCTCTGGGAAGACACCTGATGGATGACCACTTGTCAGGATATTCTAGCGAGGATTCCTCTGGGTTTGGTTTGCCTAGGTGGCCATGGATTTCTCTGCCTACTCTCACATTCTGGGATATGGGGCAAGAAATACCCAGCACAAGGGGCAGCTAGGTGGTGCAATGGATAGAGCTCCAGCCTTGGTGTCAGGAGGACCTGAGGCCAAATCTGGCCTCAGACACTTGACACTTACTAGCTGTGTGACCCTGGGCAAGTCACTTAACCCCGATTGCCTCACCCCAAAAAAAAAAAATCCAGCATAAGGAGGTGGCCAAGTGGCAGGATCGTCCACAGTGGAGATGGTGTGGCTCTGTCAGAGTTTTCAACCAGGCTTTCACCATCTCCAAATGTAGGAAATAGGACATTTTTACAGGCAAACAAGTCTTACAAAATCCAGGAACATCTAAGGGCATTTGGTAATACATTTTGTTCTGTATAAAATGATACAAAATAAACTACATGTTGATAAAACTTTCCAGACTTTCAGGGTTTTAAAAACCTTTCTCCCCAACCCCCGGCTTCAAAACTCCCTGAAATTTTTATTGCCTGCCTGTCACAAAGTGCCCAGTGACCTAGTGTCTGTTTGGAGCATCATTGTGCAGTCCCAAAAGGGAACCCTTCCTCAGTTAGGCAGGTGGCTGGGGGACTTTCTGGAAGGGCAGCAGGCCTTGCCACAGGAAGCAGAAGCTCCTGGTTGGGATTATAAGCAAGGGCCATATGGATTCCCTTCACTCCTTGAGAGCCTTGCTCTCTTTTGAGACTTTGAGCAGTACCCGTCCAAAACACCAAATTTGGATTGTGTAGTTTCCCTAATAAGGCCATATGGATTTCTGCACACCATTCTAAAGTGTTGGAGTAGTTAATTTGTTTTTATACAATTTTAAAGATAGTGAGGCTATGTGTAATTCTCCATTATATTTGCGCCTTCTAATTGGGAATGTTTCCTTAGCAGCCAAGACTAAGTCACCAGTGTTCCCAGCTATTGAACAAGGCAGTGTTCATAACATTTTAAATAACACAGGCTGCCTTTCCCCACCCCCTCCCCCCTACTCAGGTTGAATGCTGGACAATTAAGTAACAAGTTGTACAACTGAGGCAGAGAAAATTGTACATTTAATTAATTACCTCTTTCAACCTGCCAGACTTTGGTGTACAGGGCTGTTCTTTTGTTTGTCTCAGGATCCATAAGTCATTTAGGCACACAGCCTCAGTTTGTGGAATTGAGTCACTTTGGCTTTTCCACATATCAGTTATTGATGAAGCAGAGGATTCAACAGTATAGCCTTTGACAAATCTCTTTCCGTCTCAGATCCTGTGTAAAAGGAGGGTTTGGCAACAACTCTAAAGACCCTTCTTGTCTGATGGCTTGTGATCTATGAACACCAAAGAAATTCAGTAGTATTCATGAAAAGGGGTTTAAGTGGCAACTCTATCCTCCTGACTCAACTATTTACAATCGTTCTTGAAGTTGAATCTTAACATTCTGGGTGTAAGGAAAGCCATGAAGCAAAGGGCTTAATTAAACTGGCTCTTTGTTTATGCTAATGCCTCGTTTTGGGGACACCCAGCAATAAGTCGATGTCAGTTACACTCGGGGGCATCCATTAATTGCAAATGGAGTACCAAGCAGTTGGTCCTGAGGGCAGTTGCCTGATGTACCCCTTGCTCAGATTGCATGGATTTGAGTTTGCAAGTATAGATGATCCCCACCCTGAAGATGCCATGGGTTACAAGAGGGAAAACGCAGACTGGCTAATTTGGTGACAGATGGTTGGGACCATTGGCAGAACCATAGCAGGAGTGAGTAAATAGGGGAGTAAATACAAAGGTATTTATCAGGCAATGTGAACCTCTCTAATTTTGGTGGCCCTTTCCACACCCCATTCTACCATTTGTGGCCCTTCCTCTTAAACTAGATAGCTTACCTTCAACATAGAGCAAAATGAGCATTGTTTCTTCCAAGTTATAATAGCATGTCACACTCATACTTTCTTCTTTCCGTTTAGACTGTATGTTCCACTTCGAGAGTCGTTTGATACTTGGCAGGATTCTAATACTGAAGAGAAAATAATAGGTACAACTTTATTATGTCAGTGGCTTTATTTGGTCTTTTGTCAACCCTTTCAAAATTATTTTGAATTGACAAACACCCATGAACATTTCCTTACACAAAGGAGAATAGAAAATGAGGTTGCTCATGAAATCATTCATCTCGATTACCTTGTTGAATTTCACTCAAGTAGATATTAAAATGAACCCAGCCATTCCCAGTGCTTTCCTACTTGCCTCTGACTCCTGAACTTCTTTCTGCTCTCATTAGTGTATTTTAGAAATGTTTCCTTGGCATTCTTTTCTTCTCTTGGGGTGGGGGAACATTATCATTAGCCCTCTCAAATTCTCCACATAACATTGCCCCTTTCACTCCCCGAAAAGCCCTCCCCTATAACAACAAACATGTTTTTTTTGTTGTTGTTGTTTTTGGCTAGGCAATGGGGTTAAGTGACTTGCCCAGGGTCACACAGCTAGTAAGTGTTATGTGTCTGAGGCCGGATTTGAACTCAGGCCCTCCTGAATCCAGGGCCAGTGCTCTATCCACTGATAACATAGTTAATGAGTACAGTTAAGCAAACCAGATCCACGCATTGGCCATGCCTAAAAACGTATGTCACATTCCACACCTAACTAGAGCCTGTCACCTCATTCCTGAGAGATAAGAAGTGTGCCTCACTGGCAGTCTTTAGGAGTCATGATCAAGCATTGCACTGCCAATAAAACTGGTAACTTCAGGAAAATAGAGAAATATTTACAAAAATATAAAACATCCACGTTAACGAGATAAGAACTAATGAATTTAACCCTATTCCTGAAAAAGAAACTGAACAAGCCATAAAGGAACTGTGAAGTTAAAAAGTACTAGAGTCCAAACTTCACAGAGCAAATCCCCTTAATAAAAGGATTTGTTCTGCAAAACTTGAACTCAGTCAAAGGGCCGCAGTTGAGGACCTAGAGGGCCACATGTGGCCTCAAGGCCTCAGGTTCCCCCCTCCTGCACCAGGACCAGACGGACTGATGAGTGAATTCTATCACATTCAAAGAACAATCGATTCTAGTAGTACATAATTGATTTGTAGTAAGGCCAGCCTCAGACATATAACACTTACTAGCTGTGTGACCCTGCGCAAGTCACTTAACCCCATTGCCTAACCAAAAAAAAAAAAAGGGGGGGTCCAATTACACATAAAGATAATTTTTAACACTCACTTAAAAAATTTTTTTGAGGTCAAAATTTTCTCCTCTCTGTCCCTCATCTCCCTCCTCCCTGAAACGGTAAACAATTTCATATAGATTATAAATGTACAATCATGTGAAACATTTCCATATTAGTCATGTTGTGAAAAAAAGACACAGATGGGGCAGCTAGGTGGTGCAGTGGATAGAGCACCAGCCCTGAAGTCAGGAGGATCTCAGTTCAAATCCGGCCTCAGACCAAACAGTTGACACTTACTAGCTGTGTGACCCTGGGCAAGTCACTTAACCCCAACTGCCAAAAAGAAAAAAATTTAAAAAGAAAAGAAAAAAGACACAGACCAAAAGAAAAAAAAAACTTGGGAAAAATGAAGAAAGTGAAAAATGGTATGCTTCAATCTACATTGAGACTCTATTAGTTCTTTCTCTGGAGGTAAATAGCATTTTTCATCATGAATCCTTTGGAATTGTCTTGGATTATTGTACTGATGAGAATAACTAAATCATTCATAGTCTATCATCATACAATATTGCAATTATTATATACGGTATTCTCCTGGTTCTGCTCATGTCACTTTGCATCAGTTTGTGAAAATCTTCCCGGATTTTTTGGAAATCAACCCCTACAACGATTTATAAAAATAATTATATACTAAAACCAGATTGGATTTAGATGAGGTATGTAGGGTTGGAAAATTGTAAATATAATACATGACATAAATAACAAAAACAATAAAATAAAAAATATATCACTAGATGAAGGAAAAGTGTTTCACAAAATACAACACCTCTTTTTCTTAAAACCCTTAAAGAGCTCAGGAAAAAAATAGACTGTTCCTTAACGTGGTAAACAGTACTGTCTAAATAAAAAAAAAAATTGGCATTATCAGTAATGGAAGGAACACTAAAGGCCTTTTCAGTAAAATCAGGGGTAAAGCAGGGAAATCCATCATCACCACTATTATTTGCTATAGTGCTCAAAATGCTAGCTATAGCAAAAAGACTACTTAAAAAGAAATTAAGGGAATAAACCTAGGGAAAGAAGACCAGGAATTATTGCTTCATTTGGCATTTCCCCTCGGAAAACTCCGAATTTAGCCAAAGCCTGCTTAACAAGCCGACTTATTTAATTGCTCCTCTTGGTAGCTATACTATATTTCCATCGGAGCAGCTCAAAAGTCTGCGAATGTTTATACAGCTTCTTAGAATTAGGCCTCGCATGAGAGGCTTGGAAAGGAGGACTGGCCAAAGCAGAGAATCCAAGAGGCAGACAAAGCTCACCTTCTTGGCTGGGCCAGAGTTAGAGACTTGGGGAGACTTTTTTCCTTGGTGTGGGTAGGTGAGAGTCAGTCATTATTTGTCTCTCCCTGAGTGCAGGCTGTGTGGGTGCGTGGTGAATAGGTACACTTGGGTCTGCATGCAGATGTTACATGTGGTGTTCCTGAGAAGCAGCACTGGAGTCAAGGTCTCACAGAGATTTCTCTATACCCTCCTGTTTGCATTCAGTTTTTGGCAGAAATTGTTCTTAACCCAGTTATGACCTTTAGGAAAATTTTAGCAAAGTCTCAGCCCCTTAAGACAGTGAATAACTTTTTCATTTCAAAATGGATTGGAGACTTAAGGCTGCATCTGAAACCAGATGGAGTTTAAGAAGGAAAATTGTGCTGTACCAAGTTTGGCCTTGGTCAGCGCCATGGCTAATGAAGCAGATTGGGGTGCTGACCCAGTCTCCTCAGGTTAACCCTCTTCACAACCAGGACCACGACAAAGTTGATGGTTAGAAAAGCAACATCCCTGGCCGAGGTGACCAAAAAGAGGGGGTCACCCATGCCCAGCTCTCTTTGTACACATGCCTCGTGTATGTACACAGAACTGGCTGTCATCTAAATGATGATTTAAGAGGGGGAGAACATGAATTAGTCGTTCCTTTTCACAAACGTCATCCCAGTTTGTCTTTGTGTTTGTAACTCAAAGCACAGAGCATTAACCAGAAGGGCCCTAAAAAGTCATCAGGTCCAACCCCTCCCCATGTTACAGAGGCAGGGATTGAAGGCCCAAGATAGGAACTGGGGCCGTGGTTTGGTGCCTAAAATCCCCTGCTCCCTAGAGGTTAGTGTGGCATCAAGCTTGGCCCTTATCAGTCTCTGATCCCTACTTTCTTGGCTCAGCAGCAAGGAAACTCTTTCCCCCTTCCTTGTTCTCTTCTCCATTTTGAAGAAAACCCAGAGAAGTGGGGCTCTTTTGCGTGAGTCTAAAGATCTGGGACCATAACAGCTGCTCCCTCCTTTGCCTCCCATTGCCCAGAGTAGGCATTCCATTGTATTGCCACCAGGGTTGCATGTCCCCTATTAACATCTACTCTCTCACTGTTGGGTTTGGAAACGTTAAGTGGTAGTGATTCTTCTTCTTTTTATTAGGTAGGCACGCTTCTGTTCCTCTCTCCCCCCACACCTCCATGACCAGTTACACAGAGAAGTGTTCCTGGCCATAGTCCTACATGCCCCAAGACTGGGGCTAGCCTGATTGATTGTTTCCAGGTGCCCTTCTCAGGCTGGATTCAAATCCCACTTCCCCATTCTTCTTTCTCCCCATTGTCGATTCACCTTGACATTAACGTTTGTGTGATGCACAGAGGCCCTGGCATTTAGGTCCATCCCTGGTGCCCCACCCCCACCCTCTAGAGAAGGCTAAGGCTTCTCCACGGGTTCGTTTCTTTCCAAACCTTGAACCCCTAGGTCTTCTGAACTCATATAGATAGTAGCCATGGGGGGCAGCTAGGTGGTACAGTGGATAGAGCACCGGCCCTGAAGTCAGGAGGACCCGAGTTCAAATCCGGCCTCAGACCAAATGCTTGACACTTACTAGCTGTGTGACCCTGGGCAAGTCACTTAATCCCAATTGCCAAAAAAAAAGAAAAAACAACCCACTCATATAGACAGCCAACCTGTCTTTACTTGGCATCACTGAATGTTTGTCTCCCAAGGGATCTTAGATTTAGATCTGGGAGAGCCCTCAGAAACTGGCTGATCCAAGTGTCTCATTCAAGTGTTGAGGCCCAAAGTGGGGAAGTGACTCGTCCGAGGTCCTACAGGTCATGTCAGAAGTGGGATTCAAACCGAGCTCTTCTGACTCAGAGAGCTGGGTTCTTTTTATGACATCACCCTGATCAAAGAGGTTGGGACCCTTGCAGGTCACGTACTCTTGCTGCTTCCTCCTCCAGATGAGGAGCCTTGGGCCCAGAGAGGCAAAGAGACTAGCTTGAGGTCACACAGCAAGTCTGAGGGTTAGTTAGGCGTGGGGCTAGGATTAGAACCCTGACCTTCCAAGCTGTCTTCACATCCTCTCTGGTTTCACCTCACTCCTCCCTAGGTTTTCTTCTTTGGGACCCAGGCCTAATTTTCTCTTGCTCATGCTTTTCCCTGGAGCTGCCTGAGCAACAGCTTGGCTGGCAGCTCTAATTCTGCTTCTGATCCCCCCCTCTCTGCCATCACAAATGGGGAGCCCCTTCCCTTGCATGGAACACAGCTGCGATTCTGTATGAAGGGGCAGGCCCTGAGAATGGCGGTGGGAAAGGGGCTGGTGGTCCACTTCCGAGCTAAGATTGGACATCGTGGGGATGGCACTGAGCTGTCTTCCCTTCCTAGTTCGTGTTTGCAATAACCAAGTCCTTATCATCTTGACAGAGCTGACCAGAATTGGCCATGAACTGCTGTTGTGTGGGCCAGATGATCAGGATCTCATTAAGGTAAGAGAGGGGACCCATTCATTCATATATTCCTTCCTTCCTTCATTCAGCCACCCTTTGTTAAGTCCCTGTTGTGCTCAGGGCTCTGTGCTTGGAGCCTGTGGAGATCACAGAGGTTAGATGAGGCAGAGGCCCCACCCTCAGGCAGCAGGAAGGCACCCCGGGGCATTCACACACCTCCCCCCTTTCAGGTCATTATTGTACCCCCAGGACACACCAAGTTCGTTAGGGAGGTGCAAAGCCCAATTCTCTGAGGTTAGAGGGGAGAAGGTTATTCCCCCAAAGGGGGATCAGTGAGGGCTTGATGGAGGAGGTGACCTGGGATTTGTCCTTTAGGGCATGACCTGAGAGGCTCTTGCTGGGATGTGGGTGAGTAGATGGTGAAACTGCTAAAAGAAAAAAAAAGTGTAAAAATAAAAAAGAAACTGCTGCCTTGTTCTGGGGGGGGGGTGGCATTGGAGACAGAGAGGAAGGGACAGGTGTGGGGGAATGTGCCTGAGGTAGGCTCACAGGAGCCGGTAACTGGGTAGGAAAGAAGGCAGAGAAGGAAGATGTTACTGTCCCACCCGCATCCCAAGCATGGAAACAGGGTAAATGATGCCTCCAGTGGTAGAACCAAGGGATAGAAGAGGAGCAGGTTGATTGAAAGAGTTAACGAGCTCATCTTTGCATATGTTGTGATCAGGAACTCATTTCTTATTGAGCCACCTTGGAGACACAACCAAACTTTTGGTTTTGTTCTGGGGGAGTGAAGCAGTTCATACACGTCAGCCATGTTTGTGACTTGTCTGCCTGCTTTCAGAGTTTGTACTTATTGCCCATTTGTTTTTTACCCACGTGAAAAGAACTCCAGAATCATCCATTTAGAGCTTGCAAAGAGGGACCTTACAGGTGATCTGGGCCAACCTCTTCATCTTACAGATGAGGAAACTGAGGCAGACAATTGAAATGATTTTTCCAAGTTCCCACAGGTGGCAGAGAATAGAGCTAGGATTCAATCTCAGGTCCTCTAACTCTAAATTCCACCTCACTTGGACATCCAGGGTGCTGCAACATATTGCAGGCTTTGGTTTCCCTGACTCACTTTGACTCACTGAAAGCCAGGTGGTTAATTGCTCTGATAGAATTCAGAGCTAATTGTTCACCTTTCCTCCAAGGCTGAACTTAGAATTCTAGTGGGCCTAAACCAGCAGATAGTAATCAGCCTGACTAAATATGCAGAGTTGGAAGACCTCTGGGAAGGGGGAACCTCCAGCCCCCTACAGCAGTGTGATTCATGTTTGATCAGTTCTTGTTGGTAAGACTTTTTTTCCTTAAGAAGACTAAGATATGATTCTTTGCAACTTTATACCCATCACTCTGAGTTCTCTGAGGGCTAAAAGAATAAAAATAAGCTTTGTCGTATGGGACAGCCCAGGGCTGGGGAACCTGTGGGCTTGAGGCCACATGTAGCCCTCTGGTTCCTCAAGTGCGGCCCTCTGACTAAATCCAAACTTCACAGAACAAATCCCCTCTAGGTCCTCAAGTGCAGCCCTCTGACTGAATCCAAACTTCACAGAACAAATCCTCTCTAGGTCCTCAAGTGGGGCCCTTTGACTGAATCCAAACTTCACAGAACAGATCCCCTCTAGGTCCTCAAGTGCAGCCCTCTGACTGAATCCAAACTTCACAGGACAAATCCTCTCTAGGTCCTCAAGTATGGCCCTCTGACTGAATTCAAACCTCATAGAACAAATTCCCTTAAAAAAAGGATTTGTTCTATAAAACTTGGGCTCAGGCAAAAGGCCGCACCAAAGGACCCAAAATGCCACATGCAGCCTCTGCTGCAGGTTCCCTACCCCTGGGACAGCCCATCAGACACTTGAAAATGACCCTCATGTTCCCCTTCATCCCTGTTCCATCTTTTCTCCATGCTCACCATTCTCTGTTCCTCACACAAGATGGTCTCAAGGCCCTTCCCTATGGCAGCCATTTACCTCTGTATGCTCTTCAGCAGGTCCTTAGGGAGGTGGGATGCCACCAACTGACTACATACTCCAGCTTGGCCCTTCCAAGGGCACAATGCAGAACTCTCTCCATCTCCTTGTTCCTGGCTGCCATGACTATATTATTACAGCCCCAGATCATTTAAACTGTGCTCCCAGATCACCTTCTTGATATATACTGAGCATATAACCACTACAGCCACCAGATGCTTAGTAGGTAGACTAATGTCTAACTATTCCTCCTCTGTCTGAGACTTGGGAGCTTGCTTTTTTGGAAATCACGTCAACTACAGGACTTTGCATTGAACCCAGTTAAATTTCGTCTTAGGGTCAAAGCTGAATTGAGTTTTAGATGCTGGAATGGCCTTCTAGTGAGAATGAGGATACTGTGTCTGGCTTTGTTTTTGCATCCTCCCATGAAGCCTAGCTGTACCACTTGTGGACACAGTCATCATATGACACTTTCCTATGTTTCCAACTTCCACTTTTCTCCATTAACTCTGTGGGTCAGGTGAGGCAGATATCCATATCCCCATTTGACAAAAGAGGAAACTGAGGGCCAAAGAGCTGATATGCCCAGGGTTTCACAAAGTTAATGGCAGTGCCAGGCCTAGACCTCAGGTCCTCTGACTCCTCATCTAGAATTCTTTCCAGCACACTACATAGCATGAAATGGCAGTGAAAGCTGGGCCTCTTTGTCTGATATTTGTTCAACAGAAGTTGCGTGTGCTTTTCTCATCACAGGGCTGTGCCCAGGAAAAACGGCAGCTCACTTTCATGAATGCATTAATCGATCTGATAGAAAGTCTGAGCAGTGAATTCGGTGACAATCTTCCCAGGTAAAAAGCCAGGGGGTGCTGTCATGGGGAGGGTCCCTTACTGAAAGGGAAATGGGTGGTAGAGATCCATTCTACACACTTTAGTTTGATTCTGTTCACTCAGACTCACATGTGTAGATTCTCACAGTTGGAAAGGATTATAGAGGTCATACAATAAAACTTCCCACCCAATGCAGGAATCCAGGCCTGACTTCAGAGGGCAACTCCCCTTCTGTCACATCAGGGCTCATAGGTGATCAAAATTGCTTGAATAAACAGATATCTATTGAACAACAACTGTGTGCCTAGCCCTTTGCTGTATGTTTTGGGGGAGACAGAATTTTGAGACATGGCCCCTGGTTTCAAAGAGTTAACCATCTCATTGTTAGAGACAAAACATATTAGAAAAATAGATTAGAAATCTGTCAGAGGGGCAGCTAGGTGGCGCAGTGGATAGAGCACCAGCCCTGGAGTCAGGAGGACCTGAGTTCAAATCCTGCCTCAGACCAGACACTTGACACTTACTAACTGTGTGACCCTGGGCAAGTCACTTAACCCTCAATTGCCTCACAAAAGCAAACAAAAGAAATATATTAGAAAAATTAAGCAACATTTTGGGAGGAGAAAAAAAAAGGTAGAAGAGGACATAACACTGGGCAGTCTGGGATTGATTGTTCTGTGAGTGGGCCAGCCAGGGAAGCCCTTGGGGCATGCGGGAAGGCTCTGTCACTGAGCCCAAATGGTCAGGATGCTCTGGGAACCAAGGGGAGCTGGATCTGAGATGTGGGTGAGTAGATGGGCAGGAAGAGGGCCAGGCCCCCAGGGGCCTCTGGTGAGCTGTGAATGAAGGCTTTTCTTCCATGAGGCCCAGGATTGTCCCTGGCACTCAGGTGAGGTTTAAGCCTGGTATGGGGAAGGGTGTGGCCCATGGTTACCCCACCTCTGACTCTAGGAAATTGCTTCTGAATTGGGTTGCCCTCATGGGACATTATCGTGACTCTGTTTGCAGTGAGAACCTGGAAATCCGTGAGTTGATAAAGAAAAAGAAGATGATGCTAACGAAATTCTGCAATCCAGATCCATCCCAGGAGACCTCAGACCCCAAGCCTAGCACTTCACTTCCAGCAAGAAAGCCCAGTTGTGAGAAAAAGGAAAACCGTCATGGAAAGTATGTGCTTGAGGGACTGGGAAAGGATCCACTATGACCAGAGCCCTAGAGTGGCTGCAGCTAAGTGATAGTGTTCTTCAGCTTCTCCTTGGCACAGCCTCTTCCTGGGGGATTGTAGAAAGAATGCTTGATCCTGGGGCAGCTAGGTACTGCAGTGGATAGAGTTCTGGCCCTGAAGTCAGGAGGACCTGAGTTCAAATCCAGCTTCAGACCAAACACTTGATACTTACTAGCTGTGTGACCCTGGGCAAGTCACTTAACCCCAATTGCTTTAAAAAAAAAAAAAGAATGCTTGATCCTTTATAGATGACTTTGGGGCACTGATTTAACTAAAAATTAAGACCACCTATCACAAGCTCCATCTCCTCCCCTTCCAGAAATAGCCCTGCCCTGTGAGGATATTTGCCCCTGTCAAGAAGGTCAACCCAAGTGGGCAGTACACTGGGTCGGGTTTAGGCTTTAGGCCACTGATGTATTCAGAATTAATGCCATGGTGCGTTTTGAATCCCTGGCAAGTTCCACGAGCTAAGATAGCATAGGTGAGGGTAGGCTGAGCAGGGGCCAGGGGCATAGTACAGAGCAGAGCTTTCCCTTCAGGGCTCTTGATAAAAATCCTGCCCAGCTCTTGGGTGATTGAGACACCTGGTACCTGCTCATCACCATTAGTGTGAGCTCCTGCCAAGGAGTCAGAGGTAGGCTGGGCCACTCTGCCAAGTGACAAGGTTTGATTTGCCTCTGGACCATCTTTGCCCTGTAGAAATGATCCACCATCATGTTGACAGTTGGCATGTTTCATGTATTAGGGTTTACAAAGCACATGCTCCTTTGATGTTTGGAAGTAGGATATGTGCGGATTATTTGCACTTTATAGATGAGGAAACTGAGGCTGAAACAGAAGAAGGGACCTGCTCAGAGTCACAGAGCCAGGCCTGGGCCCCCCAGTTCCTCTGATTCCAAATGACACACTCTTTTCACTATGTTCCAGCAATGATCCTGGGGACCATCTTGCTGGAGTCACTGCCCGGTCCCCAGCTTCCCCAGCTCCTTTAGCTAGCAATGCCGTGTTTCCAGAGCCTAGTGTGTAGGAAGTGTTTCACAGATACTTGTGGATTGAATGGATGGGCTCCTTCCACAACATTTGGGAGCCATCTCCCTGGGCCTTGTGCTTTAAGGGCCCTGCAGTGGGGACAGGTAGGCAGTGACTTTGACAGAGGGGCTAGGGATTGGGAGAAGGGAGGTGGTTCCCCCTTTCCAGAGCTCTAAGCCACCTCCACCCCCCCCCCCAGCCTGAGGCTTTCATCCCCACAGAGCATCTGTCAGCCCCAGCAAGCCTCCACCTTCACACAGGCAAAGCCCCTGTCTGTGGCACATCCTGCCCCAAGCTTCCCGTTGCCCTTTTGGAGAGGTGGGAAGGACCAGAAAGCTCTCTTGCTGCTCTCCCTCCCCCGTCCTCCAACACCTCTGGTTTTGTGACCTCTTTCTGTCCCCTGCTTGATCTTCATCTTAACCTGATTTCATTGGGAGACAAACATTTGGGAATAGCTGGGCATACGGTACGATCTGCTCCTCCTCCCTTCCTGGGAACCTTACTGCCTGCACCCTAGTACACGCCCGTGCTACCAAATGGTGATCCTCCGCCTACTCTGGAGAGCCCCTCAGAGAAGTGGGCCCTCCCAGCCCACTTTGTGTCCCATTGTTCCCACTCAGTATCCTGCTCCCCATCCCGTCCCGTCCCAAGGACGTTTCCCTCCCCACCCCTGTGGTCGCCCTCACCTGAGACGTCTGCCACATCCTCAGCCCCATCTGTTAGTCTGTGGTGAGGAGTGTGCTGAGGAAGCTGACGCTCGTTTCTCCTCAAAGGCCGCTGGAGGCAAAGAAGACAAAGGTGGAAGAGCTTTCCGAAAAACTGACTAAGCTCACTGAAATGCTGCAGGCGCATAAGGAAGAGGTGAGACGAGCAGGAGGAGAAGGAGACAGCTGGGGTGCTAAGAGCTCTGCCAAGTATTTCCCCCACCCTAGGAATGTGGGATGACAGGGCTGAATGGGGAGAAGATGAGGGACTGTAAGAAGAGAACTTACACTGCTGGGCTTTCCTTCTCCAGGTCCCCACTCGCCAGGACAGCGTCAGCAGACTGTTTCTACCAAATCGCGCCAGGCGCCCCGTTCAGGTGAGCAGACTGAGTCTGGGGGAGGCAAAGGGAGGATCCCACAGAAGCCAGCACAGGGTCAGTCTCTTTCTGATGTGCAATTTTCTTACTGTGAGAAATTTTAAGCGTTCTTTCATACGGTTGTTAATCATTTCTGATTCTTCTTTTGAGACCTTATTGTTCATATCTTTTCATCACTTATCTAATGGGGAGTGGTGGTGCAATAGATAGAGCTTTGGGTCTGGAGTTAAGAAGACCTGAGTTCAAATCCAGCCTCGGATATTTACCAGCTATATTACTTTGGGCAAGTCACTTAACCTCTGTTTACCTCATTTTGTAGACACATACACACATATGAGACATGGCCAAGGTGCTATATAGATATGCTTATATGTATATATTGCATACATATGTATGTGTGTACATATGCATATCCACCTCAGTGTATACTCTGAATCCATCACCTCAATAAAGTGAGTAGCATGCTTTATCATGAATCTTCTGAAACTGTGGTCGGCCATTGCATTTATCAGAGTTCCTAAGTCTTTCAAAGTTGCGTGTGCATAAACTTTTTAATTTTATGTAATCAATACTGTCCATTTTACCTCTTGTGAACTTCTCTGTCTCTTCTTTGGTCTTGAACTCCTTCTCTCTCTATCCATAAATCTGATAGTCAATTTCTTCCATGCTCCTCCAATATGTTTATGATATCATCCTTTATGTCTAAATCATGTACCCATTTGGAGCTTATCTTGATATATGGTGTGAGATGTTGATCTATACCCAATTTCTGCCGAACTGCTTGCTAGTTTTCCTTATAATTTTTGTTGACTAGTAGGTTCTTCACCAATGGTTGGGATCTTTGGGTTTCTCATACACTAAATTAGTATATTCATTTGCTTCAGCTTATTTCATATTTAATCTATTCCATTGATCAACCACTCTATTTCTTTCTTATACAGTACCAGATTATTTTTATGATTGTGTCTTTATAGTATAGTTTGAGATCCAGTACTGCTAGGCTCCCTACCTTCTCATTTTTTAAAATTAATTCCCTTGAACATTTGTTCCATCAGATAAGTTTTGTTGTTTTTGTCTACTTCTACAAAGTAAAGTAGGCTGTTGGTAGTTTCATTAGTATGGCATTGAACAAGTTAATTGATACATACTTTTAATGATGTTAGAAAAAGATCCATCTTTGTCTATACTTCCTAGGGTTTTTAGCATAAATGAGTGTTGTACTTTGTCAGAGGCTTTTCTTCTATCAGGATAATCATGTAGTTTGGGATGTTTTTGTTTTTAATGTGAATGTTGATTGTTTTCCTAATGTTACACTATCCTTGCATCCCTGATATAAATCCAACTTGGTCATAATGTGTGATTTCTTGGATTAACTTCTATTGTCCTATTTGACAAGATATTTTAAAATTTTGACATTTTTGAGAATAGTTATATAGTGTTGGTCCTTATTGTTCTTTTTTTCCCTTTTTAAAAATTTTATTAGTTTATTTTGATTTATCAACAATCACTTCCATATGCTTTTGAGTTTAAAATTTTTCTCCCCCTTCCTCCCCACCACCTTCTCCAAGGTGGCGCACAATTTGATATAGACTATACATTTAGATTCCTATTAAACATATTTTCACATTAGTGAAGTTGTAAGTAAAAATTAAAACCAATAGGGGGAACCATCAGAAAGATGAAACAAAACTCAATAGAAGAGGGAAAAAAATGATAGCAATTCAACTTCCATGGTTCTTTCTTTGGATGTGGACAGCATTTTCCATCATGAGGCCTCTGGAGATGTCTTAGATCCTTGTAATGCTGAGAAGCGTTAAGGTTATCAATATTAGTCTTCGCACAATGTGGCTGTTACTGTGTACAAAGTCCTCTTGGTTCTGCTCACTTCACTCAGCATCAGACCATATAAGTCTTTCCAGGTTTTTCTGAAGTCAGCCTGTTCATCATTTCTTATAGCACAATAGTATTCCATTACATTCATGTACCACAACTTGCTCAGCCATTCCCCAATGGATGGGCATCCTCTCAATTTCCAATTCTTTGCCACCACAAAAAGAGCTGCTATGAATATTTTTGTACATGTGGGTCCTTTTCCCATTTGTTTGATCTCTTTGGGATATAGCCCTAGAAGTGCTATTGCTGGATCAAAGGGTATGCACATTTTTATAGCCCTTTGGGCATAGTTCCAAATTGTTCTCCAAAATGGTTGGATCATTTCACAACTCCACCAACAATGCATTAGTGTTCCACTTATTGTTCTTTAAAAGTTTGATGGTATTGGGGGCAGCTAGGTGGCACAGTGGATAGAGCACCAGCCCTGAAGTCAGGAGGACCTGAGTTCAAATCTGGCCCCAGACACATAACACTTACTAGCTGTGTGACCCTGGGCAAGTCACTTAACCCCATTGCCTAGCAAAAAAAAAAAAAGTTTGATAGTATTGTCCTTTGATTTTAGAAGCTTGACAAAGGCTTCACACCTTCGACAAAATTGCACATTTGTGAGTTGTGCACCTTATTTCACATAATCATTCGTTTTTTTCTGTGATTTGTTCTTTGACTCACTTTATTTAATTATTTTTTTATTTTAAACTTAAATACTAAAACTTAGACTATAAGAAAAAGAAACATATTATAAACTTAAATATTAAAACTTAAATACAAAATAAGAAAAGAAAAAATCATTGCCATGTGCACCACAGAATGTAAGAGAGGATTCAAAATATACAACAATAAATTTCCGTTTCAGGAAAGCCTATATAACAAATCCTACGCATTGTGTTCAGAGCTGTCCATCTTTTCTTTGTTTTCTTGTAAGTTTTCTTTTGTTCTGCACTGTACACTTTTTACTTTGTTCTTTTTTCTCATTTCCTCCCCACCACCCCCTACAAGAAGGCTATGATTAAGCACAGATATATATATATATATTTTATATATATATATATATATATATACACACACACACATACACATATATACATATATACACACACACATATACATGCACACATATATGTATATATACACATATACACATACATACACCAACTTACATATGTACACATGAAGATATATACACATACATATACTTACATATACATGCATACACTTAATCTATAATCATACTCATATATAGACATACACATCCATAAGCATCTATGTAAGACTGTACCATCCTTATTCATCATCTGTTTCTCCAAGGGTGGATAACCTCTTCCTTCATAAGTCCAAGTCTTTCCATATTTTTCTAAGTCCATCAATTCATCATTTCCTGCACCACAGCAACCCTATACTATCTGGTTATTTTAAATAGTCTAAAATAGTATTGATTAATATGGCCGACATATAGTGTAGTTTCCCTGTTTTTCTCTTTTGATTAAATCTGTTTTCGCTTTAACTTTGTCTGAGATCATGATTACTACCCCTGCTTTTTTTCCCTAATAAATTCTACTCCTGATCTTTATTTTGTGTTTGTGCGTATTTCTTATTTTCTATCCTTCGTGACTCCTCTACTTCTACCCTCTACCTTGCTCTCCTATTACTTAACCCACCCCCCCTCAAAGGATACCTCCCTTATCCTCCCATTCCTCTTAATTAAAATGTCATTCTTCATTTGCCCTTTGGATCTGTGTCTTTTGTTTGTGCTCCCTGAACTGCTTATTGGTATCAATAAGTGGTATCAAACTCTAATAGAAACAAATACCTGTGGACCACATATCCACTTAGAAAACCACAAATTAACATTATCTTTGTTGTATTGTATTTTAATTTATTTTGTTAAATATTTCCTAATTACATTTTAATCTGCTTAAGGCTGTTCTGGGTTGTAGACTACTTGAAACCTGCAGGCTGTGAATTTGATACCTCTGCTGTAATCTATGAGAGTAAGAGCATCACAAAAGCTTAAGGAGAATATAGGGACCCTGGAGGGAGGGTGTGGAGGGAGGAGAATGTGGGGGTGTTGTGACACAATGCAGATATTTGGAGCTTCAGCAGGCACCCACAAGTAAGGGGGGGGTGCCCTTCTTTGGGCATTCTGGGACTGATGTGTGGCAGGCTTGGAGTAGAGGAACACCTGTGTGGTGTTAAGTGCCTAATCAGGGGTGATGACTTGGGATTTGTCCCAGTGGATGGGATGGGATGCAGTGCAGGGCACTTTCAGGATTAACATCCCAAAATGAATGACCTTGTTTATCTGCTTCCTCCACAGGCCGGGAAAGCTGTCGATGAAGTCAGGGATGTAAAGGCAAAACAGAAGGCCCATTTGAGTGGAGCCCACCGCATGGTGACCCTGGGTTCGCAGTCACAGAGTCGCCAAACCAGTGCTAAACCAAACTACACCGATTGGCATCCCCGGTTTGGAAAGTGAATTGGGGATTTCTCCATAATGGGCCATGACTCCACAATCTATCTGGCCCACCATCCATTTCTTAGCAGAAACAACAATAATAATAAAAATAATAATAGCTATCATTTATGTAGCACTTCAAGGTTTGCCAAGCACTTCGCCAACCTCATCTCACTCAGTTCTCTTAACGACTTTGCAAGGGTCAAACTGCTGGTTCCTGGGAGAGTTTCCTATCAGTTACACCAAGGAAAGGCTCTGGTGTTCACACCTCAAAATAAATAATAGTCAGTCCTCTAGACTATAAGTTCCATGAAAGGAGAACTCATACTCTAAGTGTTCCTTTCCCATAGAACCTAGCACTCTATAGATATGCTTATTTTTATAAATTTGGCTCAGTTCCCTATATGTTTAAGAAATGACATCTTTATCAGATAAACTTACTGTGAAAAAAATTTCCCCCAGTTTCTTACTTTCCTTCTAGTTATGGTTTATTTATGCAAAAAACTTTTTAATGTCATGCAGTCAAAATTATAAGTTTTACCTCCAGTGATCCTCTCTATCTTTTACTTCAACACAAACTCTTCCCTTATCCATTGATTGAATAGATAAATTTTTCCATGCTCCTCTAATTGGCTTATGATGCACCCTCTACATCAGAATTGAGTATCAGTTTGATTTTTGTCTTGGTATCATAGTGTGAGATGTTGGTCTTTGCCTAGTTTCTACCAAACCATTTTCTAGTTTGTGCTGGTGTTTTTTGTCAAATATTAAGTTCTTGCCTCAATAGCTTGGATCTTTGGTTTTATCATATATTAGGTTGCAATGCATTTACTATTGAGTGTTGTTTACCTAATCTGATCTACTGATCTACCATGGTATTTCTTAGGTAGCACCAACTTGTTTTTGATTCTGGCTTTGTAATAAAGTTTGAAATCTGGTACTGCTAGGCTGCCTTCCTTTTTTCGTTGATTTTTAAATTTTTTTTTCATAGATTCCTTTGGTATTCTTAACCTTTTTTTCTTCCAGGTGAATTTTGTTATTAAGTTTTCTAGCTCTATAAAATAATTCCTTGGTAGTCTGATAGGTGTGAAAATGCATAAGCAAATCAAGTTAGGAAGCACTGTGATTTTTATTGTATTGGCGAGAGGAGTTTCCCAAGAATCATATACTCATGCAACTTCTTGGCTTTTTTCTTTCTTTCCTTCTTTCTTCTCCCTACCACTGGTTGGAAAAATGAAAGCATTAGTACGGAAATATGAGCACTTCCAAGACAGTCCTTGGACACCTCTTGAATGTATGGGCGAAAGCTAAGTGTCTACTCCCTGGTTCCCCAGCTCCTCAGGACTTGGCTGCCACTGGTGTTTGGGAAATGAGGGGGAAGACTTTGGTCATGAGACAAGTTTCTGTTTGTTTTTTTTTAAACTAATTTTTGTTTTTTGTTAATATGAACTTGAGAAGCATCAACAAGGTCCACACAGAAAAAAGAGGATTGTACATGAAACCGCAAATCAAATTGTGTACACCTTATTTTTAAGAAGCATTTAACGAAATCGCCACCTTAGTTTCAAAATGATCTTGTGTATCTTTGTCTCTTTCTGAACTGTCTTCTGTTCTCTTCTGCATACTTTAAATGCTTTTTCAATCAATCTTTTTTCTTTCTTGCTTTTTTTTTGCCAAAGCTGTAGTAAAAAAAAAAAAGAAAAGAAAAGAAAAGAAAAAATCTTCATAACGAATAATCACAGTCAAGCAAAACAAATTTATACATTGGCCATGTACAAAAAGGTCAATCTTATTCCGTATTATGAAGCCATCACCTCTTTGTCAGGAGGTGGGCAGCATGCCAGGCCCCTGTCCTCTAGAGTTGTGGTTAGCCATTGCATTGATTCTAGTTCTTAAGTCTTTCTAAGGTATTTTTCTTTGCAGTATTAATTATTGTACAAATTGTGCTCCTGTTTTCTCATATATGATTCATGTTATGAAAGTCAAAATGACTGGCCTACGTAGGCAACAGGTTGGCTAGGGGTTAACAGAGTGTGAAGAATTGAGGGTAACATCTAGGTTTTGAGCCTAGATAACTAGAAGCATGGTGGTAACTCTCAACAGTAATATGGGAGTTTGGAGGAGAAGGTGGGGAAAAAAAATAATGAGTTCAGTTTTGGCCATGTTGAGTTTAAGGCATCTATGGAGTGTCCAGTTGGAGATGTCCAATAGGCCTTTGGAGGTGCAGGATTGGAGGTCAGCAGAGAGGTTAGGGCTAGAGCAGGAGTGAGGAACCTAGAGCCTCAAGGCCACATGTGGTCTTATAGGTCCTCAAGTGCAGTCTTTTGACTGAGTCCATGTTTTACAGAACAAATCCTTTTCTTAATGGAATCTGTTCTGTAAAGTTTGGATTCAGTTAAAGGGCCACACTTGAGGACCTAGAGGGCCTCATGTGGCCTTGAGGCCCCAGGTTCCCCACCCCTGGGCTAGACAAATAGAACCGAGAACCACCTGCATAGAGATGCTAATTGAATCCATGGAAGTTGATTAGGTCACCAAGTGAAATAATATAGATGGTGAAGACTCAGAACAGAGCCATGTGGGATACCCACTGTTGTTAGGTATGGCCTGCATGAAGATCCAGCAGATAAGACTGAGAATGAGAGGCCAAACAGGTAGGAGGAGACACAGGGGGATCCTGAAAACCTAGAAGGAAGTGGATAGCAAGGAGAAACCAAATGATTAAAAGTGTCAAAAACTGCAGAGGTCAAGAAGGATGAGGCCTGAGAAGAGCCATTAGATTTGACAAATAAGAGATCATTGGTGACTTTGGCGAGAACAGTGCCAGTGGAATGATGAGGTTGGCAGCCAGACTCCAGTGAGTTTAGAAGAGAGTGGGATAGGGGCAGCTAGGTGGTGCAGTGGATAGAGCACCGGCCCACAGAGTCAGGAGGACCTGAGTTCAAATCGGGCCTCAGACACTTAACAGTTACTAGCTGTGTGACCCCAGGCAAGTGACTTAACCCCATTGCCTCATCAAAAATTAAAAAAAAAAAAAGAGAGAGTAGGAGAAGAGGAAGTAGAAGCACCTATAGACCGTGCTATAGCATAAATATAATGGAACAACCAAATTAACTTAACAGCAAAATTTGACATGGGCCCACTCCAACATGGAATAATTCACATGTGCAGCAATAACAGATGTGACTACACACAGAGCACATTTTCCATGCACCATCTTTAATATTGTCACCTATATACATACATAACTATATCTTCTAATTTATGTGTCCCATCATAACTTAACCTAATGCCTGGCCTCAGGTCTAGTTCTCTTGTCACTGATGGATCTTTCTACCCTAAGAAGAGAAAAGGAAAAAAAATGCCAATAAATTGTGTTTTCCAGAATGAGGGGACAAAATCCCCTTCTGAGACAAAATTGACAACAGGAAAAATGTCTGAACTTTGTAAGTCAAAGAAGTTTCCTTCCACTCAGATTTTGAGCTTGAGGCAAGACTCGTTTGAGTGCAAAAGGCACCCAATGGAGGCAAAGGAGATGTCTTTGGATTCACCATAACAATGACAGCAATTCAATCTAAAAAAAAATCCTTCACAACGACTGTCAAAAAATTGCAAGCTTACAAATTGAAATTGTAAACCCAGATATTTGTAGGAAAAAAATTCCAATTTAAACTCCTTCTGGGAGGGCAGCTAGGTGGCGCAGTGGAATGAGCACCGGCACTGAAGTCAGGAGGACCTGAGTTCAAATCAGGCCTCAGACCAAACACTTGACACCTACTAGCTGTGTGACCCTGGGCAAGTCACTTAACCCCAATTGCCTAAAAACAAAACAAAACAAAAACCCCCAAAAAAACCTCCTTCTAGAGGGCGGCTAGGTGGCAAAGTGGATAGAGCTCCCGCCTTGGAGTCAGGAGGACCTGAGTTCAAATCTGGCCTGAGACACATGACACTTACTAGCTGTGTGACCCTGGGAAAGTCACTTAACCCCAATTGCCTCACCAAAAAGCAAAAACAAACAAACACAAAACAAATAAACTACTTCTAGGCCAGTAAAAATATAAACCAACCATCATTGGGTCTGCTAGACCATACATGGGCTGTAGCTCTTGTAACCTTTGCAAATGAATATGCATAGCACTCTCACACTGGCTATATTAAAAACAAATCTAGGACACTTACTAGCTGTGTGACCCTGCGCAAGTCACTTAACTCCAATTGCCTAGCAAAAACTACAAAACCAAAAACAAATCTATGTCTTATTCTGCATTTTGAGTCGTCTGGAATTGTGCTTGGTCATTATATTGCTCACAGTTCCCAAGTCTTTCATAGTTATTTTTGTTGTGTAAAGTGTTCCCCTAGTTCTGCCCGCTTCACTCTGCATGAGTTCAGAAACGTCATCACAGCACAATAATATTCTATCACATTCCTCAATAAATGAGTACCCTACTTAATTTCTAATACGGAGGTGGGGAACCTACGGCCTTGAGGCCACATGTGGCCTTCTAGGTCCTTGGATTCAGCCTTTTGACTGAGTCCACATTCATAGAACAAATCCTTTTATGAAGGGGATTTGTTCAGTGAAGTTTGGATTCAGTCAAAGGACTGCACTTGAGGACCAGGTGGCCTTGAAGCCGCAGGGTTTCCACTTCTATATCTAGTCCTTCGTTACCATAAAAAGAGCTACTATTAATATTTTTCTACCTATGAGCCCTTTTTCTCTTGCTTTCATTTCTGAGATATATATATAGCTGTATTAAAGGGTATGACCTGTTTAGTGAGTTTGGGGGCATAGTTTCAAATTGCTTCCTATAACATCTGGACCAATTCATGGCTCCACCTCCAGTGCATTCATGTCTATTTCCTCCAGCACTTGCCCTCCTCACTGAATACCCTAGTGGAATTTCCTTCCCCTACTATAGATAAGTAAATCTCATTGTGTTTCAGGTCTTCTACAAGGGTTTCACTTCTTTCCAGTACTGAACCTAATCTACCAAAGGCCCAGCTCAAATCAGGCCCAACCTGCACCATTTGGCAATAGTCATACAAGATTGGAAGTGTCTGAGCCCCTTGAAGGGAGGATGAGCAGTGCAGAGAAAGTGGCCATTCCCTACTTCTGATTCCACAGCTTACTGAGAGACTGTACTCTCACCCTTGGAGTCCTTTGGAATTGGGTCATTGTATTGTTAAGAACAGATAAGTCATTTACAATTGATCATCACACAATGTTACTGTCACTGTGTACAATGTTCTCTAGCTCTACTCATTTCACTTTGCATCGGTCCATCCAGTCTTTCCAGGTTTTTCTGAAAGCATGCTGCTCATAATTTCTTTTTTTTTCTTTTCTTTTTTTTTTAGGCAATTGGGGTTAAGTGACTTGCCCAGTGTCACACAGCTAGTTAGCGTCAAGTGTTTAGTCTGAGGCTGGATTAGAATTCGGGTCCTCCTGACTTCAGGGCTGGTGCTCTATCCACTGCGCCACCTAGCTGCCCCTCATTATTTCTTATAACACAGAAATATTCCATCACAATCATATAACACAACTTGCTCAGCCATTCCCCAATAGATGGACATCCTCTCAATTTCCAATCCTTTGCCACCACAAAAAGAGCTGCCATAAATATTTTTGTACATATAGGTCCTTTTCCTTTTTTTTTTTTTAACTCTTTGAGATAAAGATCTATTAGTTGTATTGCTGGGTCAAAAGGTATGCATGGTTTTATAGTCCTTTGGGCTTAGTGTCAAATTTCTCTCCATTACAGTTGAAACAGTTTACAACTCCACTAACAGTTCATTAGCATCTCAATTTTCCCACATTCCCTTCCAACATTTGTCATTTTCTTATTCTGTTATCTGGCAATCTGATAGTTGTGGGATGATACCTCAGAGCTATTTTAATTTGTGAGTTAGAGCATG